CACCCCAGGTATTTGCATATGTCTCAGTTCAAAACTTAACTCTACATCCACAGCGAATCCACTTTGTCATTCAGTAACATTGTCTATCTCTCATTATCTGTAGCACAAAGTGGCTACAGTGAAGCCGTAGCTGGGAGTGGCACTGGAGGAGTTCCGGCAGATATCTCGGCACTTCGGACGAAACTCCTTCAGGAAATCAGCCAACAGCTGACGCTAAGAAAAATGGAGCCAACAGCTTTGGATGATGCAGGCCACTCAGTTTTGAGTCCCAAACCCACCACCTTTAATTCTAAAGGTTTATATTTCTCTCAATCTTTTACATTGGTTGAGGGTAAATTTTCACAGATTATTGATTTTCAGTGTGTGACTACTAAACGCACATAACATTCATTGTTTAGTCATTTGCTAAACTAGTACAGGCATGTGGGTTTGCATATCTAAATCAAAATTTAAATGAAGCTTCCCAAATTCATATTAATATTAATGCAATTCATATTAATGCTTTAAAGTTTCTTCTCTGGTTGCTTGTGGTTTTAGATAATAACTAATATATGTCGGTTTGGATGTTACCCTGACTAGCTGCTGAGTATTGTTTTGTGTCCCACTCTTCTTCACTGTGCTGTAGAACGACTGGAGGATTTTTTCTCTAGAGGGGCTCTAATTGGTAGTGGAGGGTTTGGCAGCGTATTCGCCGGAATCCGGAAGGACGACGGATTACCAGTAAGATATTATATCTTACAATAGGTCTCAACATGCATATACATATATAGTATGTGCAGTCTTTATGGACTCCATGTTCTTATAAGAAGTGCATTTGAATTTATGTCAGTTTTTTATGTTTGGTTATGTGCAAATTCTCTCTATAAAAATAATGTCTAATCTTCCCAGGTAGCCATCAAAGAAGTGCGCAGAGAGGAAAGGGAAGAGGTAGACATAGTAAGTAGCTTGTAGGACGACACACTAACATTTAAAAGGGGATAAGTGTGTTTTCTGCTCCCTGCATTGTATCTTTTATCTGCTTCAACAACCTCACAGCCTGCACTTGGGGGGAAGATGCCAAAGGAGGTGGCTTTGATGAAGCAGCTGAGCATCCCTCCGGCTTGCCCCTACATCATCAAGCTTGATGGGTGGTACGACGATCGTGCAAGCCATGCAATAGTGATGGAGAGACCTGAGCCGTGTCTGGATCTCTATCACTTTTGCATGGAACGCGGTGGCTACATGAGTGAGGAGCTGGCACAGCTGGTGCTGCTACAGCTGGTGCTGGCCCTCTTTCACTGTGAGGATCGGGGCGTCCGGCACGGGGACATCAAGGCACAAAACCTCCTCATCCAAACAGACAGTCTACAGGTTAAACTGATAGACTTTGGATGTGGAGGTTTTCTGAAAGGCAGCCTCGATCCAGAGTACTTGGGTTAGTGAAAAAAATCATGTTAATTATAGACAAATATCACTCCTTTATACTGTTTGCTTTCTGTCATAAGTGAGTTTTAAAGTGTGTTTATCAGCGTCTGTGGCATCTTATCTCTCTCATCTCATTATTTTTTCTGATTCTCATAGGAGCAGCTGTGAATGAGTCCCGGGCCAGATTTCTGCGGGATTTCAATTCCACCTACACCACCATGGCTATCGGAGAAATGCTCTTCCGCCTGGTGTGTGGATCGGCACCATCTTGCAGCCAGGAAACCGAATCTCTGCGTTTCCCCAGAGAAGTCTCAGAAGGTTAGTGTCAGCAATGTCACACTGACCACGCCTGATGACAGAGCCTTCTCACTTTGAATAATGTCCCAACTCCACTGTCTGTTTTCAGAATTTCGGGATCTAATGGACTGGTGCCTAGGGGAACATCACAGCAATCGTCCAACCTTGGAGCACATTGCATGTCATCCTTGGCTCCAGAAATGTTGAGAGTCGGTCTTAGACAAGACCGAGGTAATAATAAACTCTTCACTTTGTCATATTGCCGGCGGGCCCCAAAGCAAAATGCACAGTATAAAAGCCATTCTGGAACAGACCTGATGGAAGTACACAGAGACTTCTACCTACCTCATATNTATTGCCGGCGGGCCCCAAAGCAAAATGCACAGTATAAAAGCCATTCTGGAACAGACCTGATGGAAGTACACAGAGACTTCTACCTACCTCATATGTTTTACAATACAGAACTTCTCTGTGTCTTTTATTGGTACTAATACTGGAAAATGAAATGGGTAGAACAGGGGTTCAAGGTCTTACTTCTAACACCCAAATGTCTCAGATTTTTCATAATAAATTTATCTATTTATTAGGGCTGCTACGATTAGTCAACGTAATCAATGACATCGACAACAAAAAACGACGTTGACTACTTGAGGAAACACCTCGTTAAACATAAAATATGTTTACGGGTGTATGAATGTTTGGTGTTGATAGTCGGAGTGCCACAGTTAAAGGTACAGCGCCTGCACCAACAATCATCCGTGCAGCCAGCATCGATATTGAGAACATCAAAACTACGCCATCGACAAGTTCTACTGCAGCTTCAGGTAATTAGTGAACTATCTGTTTTAGTTATTGTTCAGGGATATTTTTATAAAAAACAAATTGATATTGTAACTGTAACGTAAGAACAGCAGTAAATGAGTGCCACAGGGCAGTGATCGCATTCATAAGATAGAATGTGGACTCATAATAAACAACAACTCAAACCTGTCCTAAAGGAAAATCAGAGTCTACTTGGTAAGTTTATGGTGGTCAATGACAAAAGGAATGGGAGTTTATTAGTTACTTTATTTTATTCTATAGTGTTATTTTGTTTAATTATTGTTTCTAAGCTTTACCACAAATGTCTACATTATTCTTGCTATGCATAACTGGGGAAAATAAATGCCTGTTATATGTTTGCTTTTGTGATCTTCTAAAGGACTTCCTGAGCATGCCCTCATCTTGGATGTCAGGACGAGATGGAACAGCCTCTTTCTAATGATAGAGCGCTTTGTGGAGCAATACCCTGACACAGGCAAGACTGCACTGCAGATTGGGCCATCAATCACTGAAAAGGCCCAGAAGGAGGTACAGCTATACAGGAGCCACCCGGCAGTCCTCAGCTCAGTGAACCCTATCCTGTGGTGGCAGAAGAGGGACCAGATGCCACTGTTCACTAACTTGGCCAAAAAAATATCTGTGTGTTCAGGCCTCCTCAGATCGGGTGTTTTGAACAGCAGGGGGCACTGTGAGTGTGGAGCGGGCACGGCTTTCACCCGAAAAGGTTGACATACATGTCTTCAGGGGCGATTTTAGCCCATTTTTGGGGGTGCTTCAGCACCCCCAAAGCTCTGAACCTAGAATCGCCCCTGCTTGTCTTCCTTAAAAAGAATTGTTAAAATAATGTTTCTGGTCACAGTTTTGTGGTCTGTTTCAGGA